TTGTTATTTCTCACATAAGTAGAAACTATGAGAAAACAAACAAAATTATCAGACAGCAAATTTGGAAATACCAAAGTAAGTAATATATTTTACAGAGGTTAACTCACTACCACAGTATGCTGTAGAAGCTAAAACTACACATGCTTTCAAAAGGATTAGACAAATTCACATTTGATCACCGACTACCGAAGTAGATGAAATTATGTTCCATAAAGCTGGAAGTTAGGAGGACATGCCAGCCAAATTATGACTATTCATATCATGCTACCAAATATCTACTATTGGATATTATTACTGGCAAGTCTCTGAGTTAAATGTGTTTATGATCTGGCCCAACACAGAGGCTCATCTATCTACAGTTGCAGAATATATTTAGAAAGGAACAAAAGAAATAACTTTTATTAATGATTTTAAAAAGTAGACAATATAATTTTGTTGTTTTGAACAAACTGGAGTCATCACCTATTTCAACGATTTAGATGAAATGGCACTGAACAGAGACTTCAGAAACTCAGTCCAGAAAATCACGTCCTTTCAGAAGCATATGAATGTTTCTGGAAGCACAGGTAAGAACTATTTTAATTAACAGGAGTTAAAAGGAAAAATTGAAGTCACACAAAGCAATGTGTAGGTAGTTACTGAACTAATATTATTACCTATTTTTGTACTAACAGATATAGCAGATGTTAACAACTCTCCTTTCAGATAAATATACCTATCTTTCTTAAGGTCTCTGATGTACAAAACCTCCCCTTTGCTGATCTTTAATTCTGATATTTTGAAACAGTACTTGATTTTATTGCTGGAACTGAAGGGTCTGGTATTGGTACAGGATACATTTATCTATAGTAATACGTTTCACAGATATGCATATTTTACCATTCTTAATCTATTTAATATGTATGATTTGTAATAAAAATGATATAATTTCACTAGATTCTAAAAAATATAAACCTAACTGAATTACAGTTAACATAATGTGGAAATGGTTCCCTTTTTCAAATTATATCTGAAAATATTTACAGCATAATACTCTTAACTTTTAAGTTTTTACAAGCAAACCCATGTTCAGCTGTATTTTCCTGAAATCTTCAGTTGTCCCCAGGGAAAAACTTCTCCTAACAGCAGCAACTATTCGTGAATTATTTTTATTTTTTTTAATCTCCTTGTGCTAAGAAGGTAGTGACAGGAAAAAGAAAGTAGAAGAGCTAATAACTGCCCATTTATCAAAATGGTTTGCTACTCCTTGGGTAAAAGAATAAAGAGCTAAACTGGCCACAGACATGAGTTGCTGAAAACTTCTTCACATAGTGTGCAGTCAGTAATTGGAATTTGGCAGCCAAATTCTCCAGATATTGTCTAGACTATGTATGCTCCAGACTACAGATTAAAAGGCTGAACGGGAGTTTTTCTTGGCTGCTACACCGCTCGGTATCAGAACAGTGGCTATTTCCTTTACTTTTCAGTGTTCCCCTTGTCCACATCCATGCAGCACAAAGAAGAAAGTGAACTGACTTAAAGGAAAAGGGGACATGAATTAGACTGGTGGTAAATAAGGAATCAGAGGGCAAGAAAAGAAATAAGAAATTATGAAGCCAGATAAATCATGAGAGATGGTGGAAATGAAAGGGAAGGGAAAAAAATAAGGTTTGAAGGGACAGGTTTTGATCTGTCAAAATACATGGGAAAACAGAATGATTAACCAAGGAACAAAGACTGCATTTAATTTCAATAAACTGAGTAAGTTTGGGACCATGTTCTAGGAATTCCCTTATCACCTGTGAGTTATCACTGAATTATCTGTAGCACTTCTGAGTGTTCATGCCCACTGTCCAAGGATGGCCACGTTCATGGTGAGTCTGCATATCCAGGTGTCGTGGTTTAACCCCAGCCAGCACCTAAGCCCCAGGCAGCCACTCACTCCCTCCCCCCCACCCAGTGGGATGGCGGAGAGAATTGGGAAAAAGGTAAAACTCATGGGCTGAGATAAGAACAGTTTAATAGAACAGAAAGGAAGAAACTAATAATGATAACAACAACAATAATAAAATGACAATAATAATAAAAGGATTGGAATATACAAAACAAGTGATGCACAATGCAAATTCTCACCACTCACTGGCCGATGCCCAGTCAGTTCCTGAGCAGCAATTGCCCCCAGGCAAACTCCCCCCAGTTTATATACTGGGCATGATGTCACATGGTCTGGAATACCCCTTTGGCCAGTTGGGGTCAGCTGCCCTGGCTGTGTCCCCTCCCAACTTCTTGTGCCCCTCCAGCCTTCTTGCTGGCTGGGCATCAGAAGCTGAAAAATCCTTGACTTAGTCTAAGCACTACTTAGCAACAACTGAAAATATCAGTGTGTTACCAACATTCTTCTCATACTGAACCCAAAACATAACACTATACCAACTACTAGAAAGAAAATTAACTCTATCCCAACTAAAGCCAGGACACCAGGCTACACCCAAGGTTTGTTAGAGAGGCTGCTAGTTGGATTTGGCTAAAACTGCCAGGATCAATATAGATAATTGTGTTCTAATGCCTGCAAATGTTTCCTAGCACTGTTTAATTTACTAGCATAACTGTAGCTAGGAAATTTAGGAGTTTGATAAGACATCTGATGCCAAGAAAAGAAATAAAGAAAGAAATAATCTAACATGAATTTTAAGAGGTAAGGATACAAGCTGAGAATAATTCAGGATAAATCAGAATAAGTAAGGACAAAGAACCTGATGGAACAGAAATGCAAGACAGAGTAATCAAAACCAGAATGGTCCATGGCATCCAATACATGTTCTCTTTTAGCATGCAAAATGGACTCATGTTTCCTGAATCTCATCACTCTTCTCTTGTCAGCAAGTATTCGTGACGTTTCCTTTTCAAGTGTAAATTTAAGAAGACATTTTTTAAGTCGTTTAATCTCCAAAAGGGGTTAGAAATAAAAGGATAATGGTGTATTACCACTGCAAGTTATAGAAATTACAACCTTTGTTACCACCTTAAGTTGCTAATTCAAGGTGACATTATGATAGCACATAATGTTGCCATTTTTAAGGTAGTTTGGGCTTTATGTGACAGTTTAAATGAAAGAACACTACAGATGCAAATTCACATGAGGCAAATTAGAAAACACTGGAATTATACTACCTGTGGAGCTGTCTTTTCATCTGTTTCTGAAGGTTGATCCTTATTTACCTAACACCAAGAAGAAACCTCAAAGTTTTCCACCTCACATAATAAACAGAGTACATAACATGGCATGGACAAATCAAGGAGCATAAAGCAGCTGAAAATCTTAATCTTTTACAGAAAGTGGGAGGAGTTTGCTTTTTCTGGTTTTTCGTTACCTCACCCAGTCTCCAAAGTTCTCAGAGATAACCAATAAAGTTCTGAGACAGCTTCATTCATATTGAAAATGCTTAAGTATTTTTTTGCTTCCTTCTGTGTTTCTTTCTTTTCTTAATCTACACTTGCATGCCATCTTTTGTTGTCAATATTAACTGTGCTCTGTGTTTGCATGTCATCTTCTAGTGAAAACTGAGGCTAAAGAACCACTGACTACTAACTACTAGTACTAACGTATTTCCATTTTTGTTCCCAGGGGAACAACAATGTCCTTCATCTTCCTCTTAGTTCTTCTTCCTTTAACCTTCCTCTTACAGAATGATTTAACATTACCAGTAAGATCTTTTGCTATTCTGAGCCAAGGTATTCTTGATTTTGCCCTGGTATTCCTCTGCCATTCCTTTTATACTAATACCTAGTAACTGGATTGTATCCTTCTTATGCTTGATAAAAACTACTTACATGTTCTTCATTTCATGGATCCCTAGCTTGAAACCCTTTGGATGGCGTACATTCCTGAATGGCAAAACTACAACTGAAGGGAGTAGGCACTACCCTTTGAACATGCAGAGTACTATATAAATGACATTCCTTGAACCTGAATTTTTCAAACATGATTCTCAAAAAGAGCATTTTTAACTTCAATTATGCTTATTTGCAGTTTCTGTTTCCTATTAAGATGGTAAAGTTATTATGTCATAAAATAAACAGCACATATCCTGATTAAATATATTAAAGCAAACAGCACCTTATGATTAAATTAATATATGTGTATTTAGAGAGGATTAAAACTGCAGGCTATGTGTTATCCATTTAAAATTGAAGCTATAATCAAATATTCAATAGAAACGTCATGATAAAATACTGTTAATTTAAACAATATGAGGATGTCTTTTAGGAAACATAGCAAACAGCATATATTCTATACTTACATGATTCATAGGCAAGGGAAGACAAATTCAGACTACAAATCTTATTATTGGCATTTCCTCTCTTAATTACTTTATTTTGTAACTTTCGTATTCTTTCATATTAATGCATTTCAGATACATTGTGCATAACAGCTTGTTTAAGAAGGATAAAAAACAAATCTATTATGCATTAAAATGTATTAACTATTCAGAAGGAAGTTCTGAGTTATTAACTCTGAGTTATGAGTTATTCATAAGTTTACATTACACAGCAGAGAGCCAGCCTATAACAAGAAATGAAAGTGACAACATCCAACTCATAATAAAAAATTTCAAAAGTGTTTCATTATTTAAAATTTTAAAAGGTTTATGTAATTATTTAAACTGATATTTGACTAAAACAGCAATATAGGGCTATTCTTCAAAAAATACAGCTGTTTCTTCATTGATCTCATGTAATCTGAATCGTGCATATGAGGCACTCTTTTTAAGTATTTGAAAACCAAGAAAAATATATAATTTTCTTGACTGGTCTCTTGTACCTACCAAGCTTGACATATGTAACAGTTTGGAGATAGGAGATAAGAATCTGAATTCAGCTCTAGAAATGGTAAATTAGTGTTTGAGTGATGAGTTTGAGATTAAAAAGTATTTAGAAAACAAATACAATTCTTTGGCATGTAGCAAACAAAATTATCAACATCTTTCTCTATAGGAAGTATGATGTATGCAGTACAATACCTGTATATGCAAACTGAACAAGATCCCACAGTGCATTGGGGTCTATGCCTTCCATTTTGATCTCTTCTTGCTTGGCTTCACAAACATCACTTGTAAACATGGCAGCAAAATAGTCAGAGACAGAACTGAGGACAAGTCTGCAAAAAAGTTAAAAACTGGTGTAATTTACATTGATATATGTATGAGAAATTTCTTACATAAAAAGAACCTTTTTAAAAAAAACATATTTTCACAGTATTTATAAATTTCCAGGAGCAATATATTATTAATGCATGTAGGCAGCAAAATACAGTATGACATTTAATTCTAATCTGGTTTTGCTTCCTTTGTATGAACCAAGTGGCACATTAGCATATGACTATAAAATAGACATAGAAATTAGCACTCTGTCTTTCTGATAATTTTCCAATCATGCAGATGTCCCAATTGTTAACAACATAATCTTTCAGTATCAAAGACAACTTACTAGTGAAACACATTTCATACTCCAGAGGTACTCTGCATTGCTCTTAAAGGCCTATTTTTTATAAACTTTACTAACAGCATGTGACTTTACACAATCCTTCAACCTTCAGTAAAACTGTTAGTAGCTTAAATGCTACTCATCAAAAAAAAGAAAAATTATTGTGTAATGCAATGTTTTTTTAAGAAACATTTCCAAAGGAAAATAATTTCAAAATACTTACAAAATGTGCATGGCCTGTTTGGGGATCTGATTTAGATAAATAAAAACCACAGCAAGTACCAGGTATAATTGTCATTACTGGGGTGGTAAGCTAAGGCATGCTTCTAAATACCCTCTACAATAATATTATGATTTTGTTAGCAGTGAATATTCACAGATGATCTTGAGCTAGAAATGTGGTACAGCTATAAATAGTGTACCACATGCTCTCATAAAAGATGGGTCACATTTCTGGCTTAATTTGAAAACATAACACATAAACACATTGATAAAAGACACAAGAATCACAACTGGGGAACTTGGAAACCAAGAGAAAATATTTAGCCATTTGTATATTGTTAACTATTTTTTTCACAAAAAAAAAAAAAAAAAAAAAGATACTGAAGAATAACAAATTACTGCTTACTTAGCCAGTGTGGTAATTAATTGCTTTTGCTCTTTTAGCTCATCTCAATAACAAAGTAAAATATGACAGTTTGAACTGGCTTCATAATTTTACAGTGTTTTAAGCTACTATATTTTACCCGCAAGTAAGGTAGCTTGAGAAGATACATATGATCTTTACTCTGGCTCAAATGATGGGCAATGACTAATTAGGTGTAGTAGTTTTATCATGTCTCATGTTGTGGTCAACTCTAGCAATCGTGAATTTTAGAAGTAAAGGTCCTAATTCATAAACAGCTCACATTTACATTCATGTAATTAATAAAAACAATAGATGGCTACAAAAAGATGAAATTAGAAATATACTTTGTTGCTACCACTAGATACTCCTAATTCACTATATTTATTTATTTATTTATTTATTTTCACCACTGAGGAACACTTACTTCTATGTACATTTATTTATTATCTTAACTGAGTATCACAAGTGTGTATTTAAGTCAACCATGATAACTGTACAGTTCTGGATAACTAAAAATGTTATAAACCTTCTTCAAATAATTTTTTTTACTGCTTATTTATAAGTCACTTGATTTACTGTTATTAAATGCTTGATTAAAGAAAAAATCACAGCAAGAAGGAAAAAACACTACAAACTTATGATTTTCTATGAGATGATACACTCTGTCAGAACTAGCAGAAATCTAATTTAGGACTGTGATCGAGATTTCCATTTGAGACCATTTCACATTAGCTGTTGCTTCAGATTTATTAACCACACCACCATTTAAATTCAACTATGAGTCTTCAACTTGGTCACTTACTAAAAGCAAAGCCAAAACCTTTTGCTGCATCAAAACTAATGGACAAATTAATGAACAGAAATTTTAATATACTAGTTAATGATCAGCTGAAATATTTTTAAACAGTAGTATCTTATATTTGCAATTTATGTTATTTATGTTCAGACATTATTTATTAAATAATCTTCTTGTATATGTATTCTCAACTCAAAGATAAGACAGAAAATAAGTAACAGAAGGATGACAACTCTCTCACAAACTTCTTCAAAGATCTGTGATTTTCCAGAATTTGTCTCATGGATTATTATGGGATGAGGAAATTCAAAGAAGCTGTCTAACGGATTCCAGCTGCAAATAAGCATTCAGTCTACAGAACCAGACAAGATCCAGGCCAAAGTGAAAAACCCTGAAAAATATGTAATACAGATCTCAGGTCCTCTGCACAACCCATTTTATTTACAAGTTTATCCATACTGGTTTGCACCACCTGTTAAAGAACATGGCTTAAGTGAGCAGAAAGGTTCTGTGAAGTAGCAGCTCACCTAAACGAGCAAAACAAGTTTTTGAACAGAGTGATAAAGAAAGAGGATTTTTTTTTAAGTCTCTTATGTTAATCAATAGTTAACAGAAATAATGAATCAGCTATTTCATCAACTGAATATAACCAAAAAGTTAGCTGATTTCAAGACACAAAGTTTTATATTTGGAAGTGCTTCACAGGCTGAATTGAAGTGAAAGAAACTGGCTAATTACACTTAATTCTGAAAGGTGACACCTTTTGTAAATCTTAACTGTGTTCCAGTGTTGAGATAGAAAACGAAAAGTGAGAAATCAAAGCGATCAATTAATTTGTAATGATCTGCTGCTTTTTGTAGCTCAGAAAGCTCCAAACAGCCCTAAATCTTGGTTTAAAGGCATGTTGACCTATTCATCAAGAAAGGTCAGGTGTCTCACTATGTCACCTTTTTTCAACTACTGATCTAGCAGCGAGAATACATAATAAACTCTTTCATCCTTGAGAATCACAGCAGGCAATTCATGGCTTAAAATGAGTTTCTGGACCCAGAAATATTTTCTCCAGTTTAAGAGACTTCTCTACCTTTACTACAACTAAATTCAGCCTGATATATTTCTGGTTTCTTTTATAATACAGAATATAACTGATTCTTGTTATGACTTTTTTATCCTGATATCAGATTTTGTTTTCTTTTATTATAGAATATTTCCTTGCAATTGTCACAACTGTTTTCACATACACCTTTGATACAGAATTCCCTCAACATTGTTTGTGCATTTATTAAGTAAAAGAAGCAAATAAACAAAAGAAACAAACCTTGATCACTTACATTCTGTAAGCAAGCTCTAACAATATTTTACTGTCAACTGTGTAGAATCTCAGATGTTACCTGGACTGCAAACTCATAGGCATGACACAACTTTTTTCCACATATATTATGCTAGTTCATATAGGAGTTGAACATTTATTGCTTTTAAATGTGATTTGTTCCCCTGTAGAGGACACCAGCTGACACTGGGTGTCTTTACTGACAGTGGTGTTCTACAGCTCTTCTTACAGCAGGCTGTAAGAATACTGTATATATAGAGGCTTCATTATTTCCTAAATTTTAAGGCTTGCAGAACATATACTAAGGTATATCCATGCATGCCCTTGAAAAAAATTCAGGAAAAAAAGGAAGCAGACACTGGCTGTCACTTCCAGAACAATTCTGGCAGTACAATCAAGACTGCCATCTTTTCTGAATAGAAACAAAGGAGCAAGCTGTGGAACAGATCAACTGATTTGGATTACACCAGGTAGTGATTACCTTTCCTGATGACTGTGGTAGTCTCCCTCACCGGCTTACCAAACACAAAAAAAGGTGTAACAGCTTTGCAAAAAATATAGCTAACAGTAAATTTAATCTAGTATACACACTATTTCCTGATCAGTACCAAAGATCATTAGAAAAAAATCATGTCCAAACACCAGTAAATTTTTTCAGACCAAATATTGCCCACCAACTTTAAATTGGCATCTCCTATCCCAGAATCCTGATCTGTAGCTAATTGGGATCACCCTGTTTCATGTTGTCCATAATTAGGAATGAGATATGTCATGTCTTTCCCTTTTTTTACTCAGTCTTTCCCACACACACTATTACAATTGGCTTTAATACACATAAAGTAGAAAATGGTGTAATTTTCAACTCAGCTTCAGTAATATAGCACAAAACAAATCTTGTTCTGTAGTCCCTAATGAACTGTGTAAAACTAAGAGAAGAGTGTTCGCTGTAAAAGCTATTGGTACCCTGAGGAATTTTCCTTGTCAAAGTCTCCATTCCATGTTTTATCAATGGTAATTTATTTGTTTTGCAACATTTTCATTTTATTTTTGTTAATCTGTTAATTCTGTTCTTCAGACTCTATTTCACTTTGCTTAAGATCAAAACTAAATGTGTAACATCCATTCTCTATTGAAGAATTTGCCACTATATGTACCTTCTACCTCCACCTGTCATCTAGTCAGCATTTCAAATCTAGAATTCTTTGCCATCTACCTTTCTTCCTTTGCAGTCAGGACACTGAAATGTTGATTTGGCCTTGTTACTGCTGTAACTGCCTCCATGTTCCGAATTTGTAAGTATGTAAAGAAAGCCATGACATATATCATAAATTATTCTTGCCCATAAAATTCTAACCAGATTCTCCAAACATGTTGTGTATCTTGTCTCTAGGAAGAGAACAAAAATATTCCATTGACCACTTACACGTGGCAAGCTTTTCCTTTAGTTTGTACCTACACACATTGCTCATAGACTGTTTTCCTTCCTTCTCTTGTGGATTAGAGCAGTCGCTTTTCATTCCATTGACTAACTTGATCAGAGACATTTTCAGGAATTTCCAAAGTGACAACACAATAACAATTAGGATAAAAGAGTGTCTGCGTTCCTTTGTGCATTCTCTCCGGGGTTCACATTTTGTTTATCCTCCTCTCAAAACCGAAATTGTACTCAGTCTCTCTGGAACGACAATATATTCAGGGGATGTGCAATATATTCAATAGTAGGGAGGTACCACCTCTGGTTTGGAAGACTCTGAGTAACAATTCACCAATGAGTGCTGAAGTGTTTATGCTGGCTATGTTTCAAGATGTGGAACTCAAAATCTGCTTTTGGTAAAAGAATAGTGGGAACTA